GACTACGATGCCGGCGAAACGTCTGGGAATGTACCACACCCACGGTCAGACTGAAAATAATTATGCATAAAATGGACTCAGGACAAGGTGAGTTTCTATAAGTCTTCTTACCATTATGACCAAGTTGCGAAGACAAGATCAACCAACTTATATACAACGAAAGGAGACTGCGACCACACAAAAGGCCACACCATCTCGGTCTTCATATCTTCGACTAATGAAGCTCGTCTGAAAACTCTGCTACCAGCAGGGCTAGCCACCTTTTTGCTTCGAAACTGTGTGATTTAATGCTCATAATTATCCTCTAACGATGCTGGCTAAGATTCAGAGAAGACATCTTGCAATTTACCTGGTCATCAGTCCGATTTAGGAGTGGAAAATGACTAAACGTGAATAAGTCGAAATTCGGGGTAAGTCTTTCAAAGATTTCCTGGGAATCTAATATGGCCAATTACTAAAGCAAACAAAACGGAGCATTACTGCCATGGTGACTGGTAGAGTTCGTCTGACTTAGGAAGCGCCCTCCACCGATATTTATCTGATTTCGCATCGTTCCACCTGTCGTGGAAATATTATCCGGCTTGTTTCCACCTGTCGCAATCTTAGCTACCTCTACTGGATGAGAAGCACCCTCGTCAGTTGCTGCTTTGACCGCCGACTTATGGGTCAGTGGTTGAATCTGTTGCTGGGACCGTTGCTGCTGTTTATGTTGGCCGAGGGTGCAGAGTTTAGAGCATGAAGTCGGGAAGTGACAGCGCATCTGAGGTCCAATTAGATCGCGGCAACGAAACCCTAGCGACATGTGGGCCTGACCATGTCGACTCAGCCGACGCAAGCATTGTCGGGCCAAAAGATCGTTCAGCAAACGGACAAGACTGTTGTGCTTCACGCATTTAAGACAGAGCGGCTGGAGGCAACTTAGATGAGGCGTAAATAGCTGATGGGGAAAGACGAAGGATGAACATAGGTGATATGAAGGTGAAGCGATACAGCTAGAACAACGATAAAGAAATTTGAATATCACAAAGGTAGAATGTTGATATGGAAAAAACAGTCGAGTGTTCTCCTCCACATTATGTGGCCCTTTCGCTGTTAAGGTTGTGATAAATATAGATCTATGATAAATAGGCGGGAAAAATTCCCGATTAGACATTATTCTGTAAAAGGTTGGGTTTGCACGTGTTGAGCTCACTTGCAGTTCGGTTGACAATATGGGATGAAGAGATTCGTAGGTCGGTTTTGCTCAAAGAAGACGGCGGATTCCTCTTGGCCAGCTTCCCTTTAGCTTTAATAGAATCTTCTGATTGACGCTATACACTTTGATAAGAATGGAAAGGTGTTAGGATCTGCCTGTTATATTACAGACTCCATTAGATAATTCTTGCGACTAATTCAAGCTAACTAATAAAGTAAGCTGACTGGTCTACTTATTTCTGTTTTATACATAATATAGATATAGGAATAAATGCAATTTCTATTGTGATTATTTTGCAATTTGGCAGCACGCAATTTTCTTTCTTAAATAATCAGCGGGATAGAACTATTAAGTTTATAGGGTAAATTTTAAGGGATAATAATTTGTTAGTTATAAAAGCTTGTTTGGGTGGTTTCGTTTAGAAAAAGGCTTCGAAACTACCATTAGATCTTATATAAGAGATGTATTCAAAGCATTTAGTTCAAACGAAGATATGAAGACCAAGATGGCGTGGCCCTCAGTATGGTTGCAGTCTCCTTTTGATTCATAAAAGTGGGTTGACCTCATTTTCGCTTCTTTGCTTTGCTGTTAGGGCGACTTAGTAGAACATACCCTGTCCGATGTCCTCTGCCATAGTAGTTATCATAATTCACTGAATCAGACAGCGGACTTGGAGCATTCTCACTAATGATGCCGACTACGATGTCGGTTAAGCGTCTGAGAATGCACCAAGTCCAGGGTCTGATGCTGAGAATTATGATAACTACTATGGCAGACGACTTCGGAAAAGGTGTGTTCTACTCAGTTGCCCTGACAACAAGACTAATTTGCGAAAACGAAGTCAACCATCTTCCTTTAGTTTAAAGTAATGCACGACTGTTAGCTGAATTTTTCCACAATCATATGAGTAGGCCTCAAGTTTTCAGTAAATTTCGCATAGCCTTGCTTCCCCAAAAGGTGTTCTTATCTAGGCCTGACTGCCGTTTCGACCTCGCCTAGGTCTCACCAGCTCCCCCAACGAGTCTCGAACCCTGGTAGTAGAGAGAAATAGGATGAATACATCTCATATATTTGATCTACTATTAGTCTCTAAAACCTACTTAAGGACGAAAAATAAGTACTGTAATCGATTGCTATGAAAAATACAAATTTGCTCGTCAACAATCCTATTACCGAACGCGATATCGAAAAATGCCTGATATTCTTGGAAATTCACATCTTCCCTGTGATAATGTGGCAATGTAGCGTAGTGGTTAATGTGTCGCGATTATACGCTGCACTGTCATGGTTGAACTCCTGCTGAGAGTGTTGCTAAGACCTAGGCGAAGTTGAAACTGCAGTCCACCCTGTATGAGAATACCTGTGGGATAGAATCGCAGATATGAAGAACAAGATGGTGTGGCTTACAGTTTGGTCGCAGTCTCCTTTAGCCTTATGATGTTGGTTCTACCATGTTTTCACAACTTGGTCTTAGGGAGACCTTGCGGAACGTATCTAGTTCTGTGTCCTCTGCCACAGTATTCATACTAGAATTCGTACTAGTATTCACACTAGAAGGTAGAACAAAAAATACGGGCAAGGAGTGATTCCACAGTGGTTGAAAAGAAAATTGGTTAAGGGGATTGCCTTTACTTGTCACTTTTATAAGTTGTAACTCTGTGCTAACAATGGCGCCTCTCACTGAAGATGCCGGCGAAACGTTTGGGAATATACCAAGTCAATGGCCCGAAGCTGGAAATCACGAATATCATGACAGAGGACAAGGGCCTATGTATGTTCCATAAGGTCTCCCTGACGCTCCGACTAAGTTGCGAAACAAGGTTGAACCAACACAATAAAGCTAAAGGAGACTGCGACCAATCAGAAGGCCACGCCATCTTGGTGTTCATATCTACGAACTACACATTGATTTGTACAGCCCTGGTCCACCACAAAAGCCTGTGGTGGCGTGTCACCATGAGACTCACCAACCGGTTTCGTATCTCAACGTGGATGTTGCTGATTCGGGTAGGTAAGACAAACACTGCAGCCAAACCTGAATGAGAAAAAATAGGGGCCAGGCTAAGTGAACTTCAATGTCTTTGCGAGGCTTATTTATATAACTTTTCAAATACTCCCCCATAAGTCATTAACTGACTCTATTAGGGTGACTTTCATTTCGTATGAAAGTTCATGATGCTGAAATTAGTAAGGCAATCTGACCAGAAGGCGACGGTCGAAGCGAGGGAAGATGTCTCGTGGAGTGCATAAACCTGAACGTCGTATTAAAGACAAACGGCCGTAGTCCTATGGTGAGATCGACCAACGAATCTCTTCATCATATAATCTCATACGAAATGAAAGTCTTCCCAACAATGTTATCTTAAGAAATTCATCAAAAATCAGTTAGTCCTCGTATACCTTCCTCATACCTTCAGTTCAATCAATCTAGGATTTTTTAATCGGTGCTATGAAACAGCCTAGGCAAAAGCAATCGCACGCAATCGCATGCAGTAACATTGCAGAATCAGAGATATAAGTATTTTAGGGGAGGATGCAACTGTTTGGTTTCAATTGCAACCATTTCACGCTTCATCTGCAGCCACTTAACTTATATGCAAACTCATATAGGCAAAGCACAGAACATCCAACCAAAACATAAGATGCCCAAGTGGACCAAATTGGACTCTAAGGAGGTAGGTATGTAGCCGGCAACCTTTCTTGCCATTGTGATTTGGTGAATTGTCGTTAACCTGCTCTGACGATATCGGTTACATGATGGACGAAAGCTCAACAAGGATTCATCGAGGTCGCAAGGCGGTGCACCGAGGAACTATTCGCATAAATCTGCAACCACCCCACAGCCTACAGTGGAACCAACTTACAAATCCCTTCCACTCGCCTCTACAAACGAAATGAAAGGTACTCCAGCATCAATCTAGTAAAGGATTCTTCTAAACCGAATTTTTCTACATACTCAAAGTTACGTTTTAAAACGCTTGTAAAACTTGGTTTCATATCCCCAGCAAACAAAAAGTTTCCTTATTCCTTATTTTGCCTGTAGAATATGAAAAATTCCCCAAAATAGGATATGTTAGTTTGCATTTTTCACTCCCTTACATCTGATATAGGTTATGATAGCACCTTGTTAAATGATCAATTAGATCGGCTCACCGTATGGTTTAAAACTGGCTGCTGCAATTTTCTCGTGCCACAAGGGTCAAAGAATATATAAATGTACAGATTTAGCTAGAGAATGTTTAATGACAGTCCTGGGGTTGCTGTGGTTATGTATCCGAAGACAATTGGTGGAAAAGCTGTCACCAGCATTAAATTATCTTCAAGCAAACGGTAATTCAAGGAGATCCTTTATTCATCTCTTTGATGTCTCTTTGACGAGTTGTTGTGTGGTGCTAAGAATGGCGATACTCACTGACGATGCTAAA